GATGAGATATAAATTTTGTTTTGAGTCTTCTGGTTTTTTTCCTGAAAATTCTTGCCAGAGATTTACTTATATATTTTTTTCAAAGACAAACATTTTATCTTTGTTGAACATCTCTATTATATTGATTTTCCATTTCCTTATTTTCTACTGTTATCTTTATTTTTCATTCTATCTGTGTATTTGTGTTACCTTGTGTTACCTTCTTCTAACTTCAATAGATATAAATTTCACTATAAAAGCATATTTACCTTCATCCTATTAGTTTATGTCACTGAACTTATGTCATAAAGATATCCTGAAGAAAGTTTTGGAACCTAGATCATTTATCATTACAGATTTAACATTTACAGTCTAAATCTATACAGTTTAAGAGTAGTGACAGGTTAAATTATGAGAATAGAAGAGATTTGAAAGTCAATGCATTAGAGATATGTAAAAAGAGGCACATAAAGATGATAACTTGAAAAAATAGAAAGATTAATCTTAAGATGAAAGAAAATGTAGAGTAAGAATGTTTGATCCCAAGATTCTGAAAAGTTCGATAAATATTTGGCAGTTTAATAAAAAGTTAAGCAAACATCTTTGCTATGTCCCAGCAATTCCATTCTATTTATTGAGAGAAATAAATCACGTACCTATAAAATTTCTTGTACAAGAATGTTGACAGCAACTTTATTTATAATAGTCAAAACCTGGAAACAACTTAGATATCCATCAACAAGAGAATGGATAAATTGGGGTCTATTCATACAGTGGACTACTACTCAGCAGAATGGGAATGAACAATATGTAGGACATGTCAATCTCAAATATTTTATGCTGAATGAAAAGAGTCAAGCAGAAGAGCACAAACTGTATGATTCTACTTTTAGGAAATGTTAAAATATGTAAAACTAAACTGTAGTAGTAGAAATCAGATCATAGGTTGTTTCTGGTGGGTTTGGCTGGGAAAGGGCAGCAAGAATCTTTGTGGGGGTGATGGAAATGTTGTGTATCTTGATAAGCATTTTTCTAAATAGATTGAAGAGTTGACTTATGATATCAAGATTTAACTATATGTAAATTTACCTTAAAAATTGTTCGAAATATTAATTGTTGAATCTAGTTGGAATGTATATAAACGTCCATTGTACTATGCTTTCAACTTTTGTTTAAACTTTTCAGAATAAAAAGTTGGGAAATAAAATTTTAAAAACTCATTATTCAGTTTCCTTGCTATTAGGTTCAGTTAAGATCAAACACTATTGGCAAAATGTAAAGGAATGAGGAAGTGTGATTAAAAATAGATGTATGTTTAGCAAAAGGAAGGTGGCTTGAAAACATCTGGAGGCTTGAGCACCATTTTATATATAGAGAGAAAGGAAGTAATCAGTGGAAAGGAAAAGAGAGATGTTAAGATCAGTAAGGTCTGATGGGTTCAGAGATAGGAAGGGAAAGGATTAAGAAGACAGGTGCTTGAAACTAAACTAAATATTCCCTGCACTGTCTGACAAGATTGAATATTCTTCAAAAGTTACTAGGATGTATCACATGGTTCTTACTATTTCTTAATAGAATGCAACTTAATTTTTTTATGTGTTTATCAGTTGTTTAGATACAGAAAATTTATCATCTTTTGCTTTCTAAGTTTACAAAATATACTTACATAGCCTTATCTCATTCTGAGATCAGGTATAATCATTACTGTTTTACAGATTAGAAAAATTGAGACTTTGCTAAAGTTACACACCCAGTAAATGGAAAAGCCACTCCTGAGACTTTTGACTTCATGTAGTATAATATTAGGACACTTTAATCACAGTACTTATAATGAGTCTTCTAATTGGAGCCATTTTAAGGGGGTGGCCTGGCCAGGTAATTGCCTAGAGGCTCAATTTATAAAGAGTATTTTAACATTGCAAATGTTAAAATAATGAGGTAAAAAATTGTTAATATTTAATAGAATTCCTCTGGGGGGAGCGTTCTGTATATGGCTAGAAGAGGTATTTTGATATGTGGCCTATTATGGGTGTTGAGACTACTGTACCTCCTTCCCCACTTCCCTCCCAGGGTATGTTTTATCACGTTACAAGGAAGTTGGATCCAAGCAAGGGCAGGGATTTCTTTTTGGTGCGTAGCATATACAAATCTGGACCAGAGCTGAATTGCTCACACAGTGGAGAGAGCAGCAGGGCAGTGTTCTTTCCACCCTTTACCATTCAGCTTTTCCTTTATATTGAATGACTATCAAGGAGTAGAGTTTAGAAAAGATGCCAAATTAATAAGCTTGTCTGGGGAGATCTACTAGCACCCTATTTCAGAATTCTTCAGGTTGCAAATAATAGAAAACTCAACTCAAACTATCTAAAATCATAGAGGAAAGGTATTGGCTCAAGAAAACTGACCAGTACAGAGGAAGAGTAAGCATCAAAGTTAATTCTATTTTTTTTTTTTTTTTGCTTATGAGAAGAGTTGGTCCTCATGTTGGCTCCTCATTGTAGTAAAATGACTACAGTGTTCCTTATTCCGGAAACTCTCGTCTCTAATTATTTTTTATTTTTTTTTTTGAGACAGAGTCTCACTCTGTTGCCCGGACTAGAGTGCTGTGGCGTCATACTAGCTCACAGCAACCTCAAACTCCTGGGCTCAAGCGATCCTCCTGCCTCAGCCTCCCAGGTAGCTGGGACTATAGGCACGTGCCACCATGCCTGGCTAATTTTTTCTATATATTTTTAGCTGTCCAATTAATTTCTTTCTATTTTTGGTAGAGATGGGGTCTCGAACTCCTGAGCTCAAACGATCCACTCGCCTCGGCCTCCCAGAGTGCTAGGATTACAGGTGTGAGCCACCGCGCCCGGCCCTCATCTCTAATTATTGAATAAATGCCCCAGACTTCCCAATGATTGGCCTACTTTAGGGCACGGGTCCACACATGGTCTAACTGGCAAAACCTGTAAATGCCCAGCACTTATTGGATTTACATGCCCAACTCTAATCTAATCACCATGGCCAGAGGGACATAGTGGTCCTTATTGGCTTAGGCCATCTGGGGCAGCTCCTAGAACTCTTTGCAGTCAAACCTAGACAACCCAGACAGTAGCTGCTAAACACTGAGGAAGGGGTAGAATGGATGCTTGGGAAACAACAATGAAGACCACAAACATGTTTCAGTGGGGCTTTGTGTCTTTTACAGTTTTGTGTTTATGTTGGTCCTTCTTATGGGTGTAAGCTCCTTAGTGGCAGGGCTGTATTGTATTCTATTCATCATTCTATCCCCCCAAAGCTCCTAGCACAGTGGTATTCACTTAATGTCTGTTAAACAATGTTAACGTTTACTGAGGTGTAAATCGAATCTAAGGAGAACAAGAGCAAGAATGACCTAAGATCACAAAGTTAACGGTGGACAGAATCAGAACCTACTCTAAATATTGTTCATTCATGCCTTTATTCATTAAACAAATGAGGCCAACTATTGGTCAGGCATCTATCAGAAAGTAGTATATTCTGTTTAACATGTTTTAAGGTAAAATTATTTCTTTATTTATTTGAGACAGGGTCTTGCTCTGTCACCCAGGCTAGAGTACAGTGGCCTTATCATAGCTCATTGCAACCGAAAACTCCTAGGCTCAAGTGATCCACCTGCTTCAGCCTCCCTAATAGCTGGGACTACAGGCACGCCCCACCACACCCCACCACGCCCTGCTAATCTTTTCTATTTTTTTTTTTTTTTTTGCAGAGACCTGGTCAGGCCAGTGCTCAGACTGGTCTCAAACTCCTGGCCTCAAGCAATCTTCCTGCCTGAGATTCCCAAAGTGCTAGGATTACAGGCATGAGCCACCCAGCCAGGTCAATAAAATTTTTATTTATATAATAAGCGATCACGCAAATACCTACACAATTACCAGGACCACATGTTATGAAGGAAAAATTCAAGATCCTATGAGAAGTCATAACAGAGGGATTTGAATTAAAATAGGAGATGTGGGCGAGGGAAGGTCTTAAAAAATGACACTTCGAGTGGGACCTTAAGGATGACCAGGAGTTAGAGAGGCAAAGGAGCAGGGTGGGAAATCGTTCTTGGCCCAAGGATCAACATTCAGAGGCCTTAAAACTTGCGGGGATGGTGGTGGTTGAAAGGAAGGTCTAATGGAGGAACCAGAAGTGCAGTGTTTACGGAACGAGGGGCAGCGGGTAGGAAGCCTTATAAATGATATTAAGAGTTTTAAAGCCCTTCAGTGGGTGGGTTCGACTCCTCTTCAAGGAAATTCGAGCCACAGTCTCCGACAAGCGATTTTCCTGCCCAGCTTGACTCAGCATCTTCTCGTTCATCAGCACGTTAGGGGTGTCATCAAGCTTCCTTCTATCTACTCTGCCCCGGCATTTCATTCTTTCCTAGCTATCAGATTTCCCTGACCCCTCCGCCTTTTTATCAGGGCCCTTCGGAGCGCTCTTATTTCACTTCTGCCCAGCCCCACCCCCCAACTCTCTCCACTCTGCAGTCCACGACATTCAGGCGCCCTTCAAAGTCAGAAAGAATCAGCCAGGTTGGTACTTGGAGGACATTAGCAATTCAAAGAGGTTTCACCCATCCGGCACCATTAGATGGGAACAATGGCTTACCCAACACCCATATTTAGATTGTTCTGCCACAACTGCTCTGGGGGATGGTTTTATCTGAGGCTGCTTTCTCAATCCCCCGCCACTGTGTGAAGGGCGCCGTAAGAATCTTCTCGAATGCTCTTGTCACGCGTCCCGGTCACCTCCTCTTCGTCCCCGCCACTGCCCCAGGCCAGGCCATCCTGCAGGCCCGCCGGTAACCCGCAAGTCGCGGCAATCCCCCGGGAGTCGGCACGGGCCTCCGCGCGGGGAAGAGAAGGCACGACGCTGGGCCGCGCGGGGCAAGGCCGCAGCACTGGGCGCCGGAAGCATGCGGGCAGCAGGCGGGCGCCGACGCCTGGCGGACGGAAGGCGGCCGCGCGGGTGGGCCGGGGGGCACCGCGGGGGGCGGGGCCGCGGCGCACCGGGGGCGGGGCTCCCGCTCCGGTCACGTGACCAGCCCGGCGACAGCGGCGGCGGCGGCGGCCGCGGCGTCTTAAGCGGCGCCCAGTGCAGGATGGTGCTGGAGGCGGCGGCGGCCGTGGTGGCGGCGGCGTCGTTGGCGGCAGCGGGAGGGGGTGCGGTGGCGGCAGCAGCGGCGGCGCCCGCGGGTGGTATAAAATGGCGGATTTCGAAGAGTTGAGGGTAAGCGGGGGCGCGGGAGTGGACGGCCGAGGCCGCGGGGGAGGGACGGGGAGGGAGAAGAGGCGGAGAAGCCGCAACGTCGCCGGCCGCCGCCTTCCCGTGGCGCGGGGGCCGGTTGGCGGAGCCCGGAGCCCTGAGCTCCGGCCGGCGGACAAGCGGGCCCAGAGCGTGCGGGGGAGGGGAGCGAGCCGGCGAGGACTGCCGGGCGGCGCGGGGGCGACAGGCCTGTGCCGCCGGGAGCCGGCCGTGCGTGCTGCTGGCGGTCCGCACACCTGGCGCGGAGGCCGGGGCGCCCTCGGGAGGGGCACGTGGGGACCTGGCGTCCCCGTTCATTTTGAGGGCCGAGGTGGGAAGCGGCATTTGATTTTCCACCGTCGCCAGAGGTGTACGTGTCAATGGCGATTCAGAAGTCTGCATGCTACTCACTTGGTGGACGACTATTTTCTGAAACGTGAAGTTGGGTTTGGCAATTTTTGTCTCTCCTGTTGTGGCTGATGCTACCGTTTAGTCAGGTCTGCCACGAGAAAAGGCCCCTTCCTCCCACCAGTGCTTCCTAACATCTTCCAGAGAAGCGTGGTCTTTGGGGAACACTGCCTTCAATAATGGGCCTTAAACCTTGGTAATTTCTTAGTGCCATGGTAAGAAATCTGAAAGTCCGTGTTGTCGTGAGGTTTGTCTGTCTGTGCACTCCTTTTGCTCTTGAAAAAATTTTCTCTCAGCCTTAGAACAAGGTCATAACTTTATTGTTGATACCTTTGTATAGTAGAGATTTGAAATGGGAGTGTAATGAGGATAGAACGGAAAAGATTTTTTACCCCCAGACTGATAACCTTCGGAGTCCTTAAGTGGAACAAAACTAAGTGTGATAAATGAGCCAGATTTATTTTGTGTGGGTCGCTGAATTACTGGCGACATAAATGAGCTATTTACGGACGGAAACCCTGATTTTTTTTTAAAAAATGTATTTTAAAGTAGAGATGAGTGTGAACTTGAAATTAAGTTTGCATAACGTAGTCTTCTGATGTTAGGGTTACTTACTCAAATAAGAAGGAACGGGATCCGGCAAAAGATTCAGTTTTCTGTGTTTATTGTTTTTTTCCCAAGGAATGGGTTGGGGGGAACGATGTTGGCTGGTTACCTGTTTAGTGGACATCACGAAAAGAATGTATGTTCTTTTCTAAAGGGAGGTTGTTACGGTTTGCACAGTGCCTGCCATTTTCCCTCCTGGTGTTTCAAAAAGAATTAGTTTCCAGTAGAGAGAGCAGTATGTTAATGCATGTTATGCCCCATACTAGTTTATTCAGAGAACCATGATTGTAGGTAAATGGGTGTTCATACTTGATAAGCTAGTAAGGGTTTTAGTGGCTCAGAGCTCCAGCTGTAGAGCTTTTAACACCTGTGGAGCTTTTGAAACAACCAGGCCTGAGCCTCACCTCTGTTTTTAAATTCATGCTTTAGAATTAGGATGAATTGAGAAGACTGAAGTTAAATTTATTTTTACCTGCAATATAGTTTTAATTTTTGTGTAGTAACGTTTCCTCTTCCAAGGATTTTTTTTGTTCATGAAAAATTTTCCAGGACTTACATTAGACTTTTTTAAATGTTGTTGTTCAAAGCTTAATTAATATACAGTGGAGAATTTACTTGCTGTTAGAGGGCAGAAAGGGCATTCAGTACTCAGATTGGAGGGCAACCAGGAACTGGAAAGTTGTGGAAACCAAAAAAGCTTTTTTTTCTCTCTCTCTTTCTGCCTTCCTCCCTCCCTTTCTCTTTCCATTTTGTTTTATGAATCATCTTCCTCATCTCTTCCTGTAAATCAGCTATCTTTGCCTCTTCCTGCACTTGATAGAAAAGGGCACCCTTTACCACAATTCATATCAGGTACCCAAAAGAGATTAACTGGGGAGAGTTTTCAGAGGAGGAAAGGGAATGTGCTGGGCAGATGCTGGAAGAATTACCCCCTCATCTGTTCTGTGCAGACCCATATTAACCTACATTTGAAGATGAGCTATACTCCCTGCCCCCCCCCCCATTTGCAAACAGTAATGGTGATAATGGCATATACCGATTATAATACAGTGCTTTTCCCATTCCTGGTTCTGATCTTAAGTGCTTTTTCTATACATACTAATTTCATTCTCACAATTCTATGAAGACATTGAGGTGCAGAGAGATTGACCTGACCTGAATCACACAGCTTGAAACTGGAAAAGCTGGGATTTTTTAACCTTAGACATCTAGCTTTAGAGTTTGTCATCTTCAGAGCCCAAGCTATACTGCTTTGTTTTGGTACCTTAGGGTCTAGGTGGAGCCTCTACCCATCATCCTGCAATTTATGGACTAAATTATTAATAAATGATAAATAACACACTTATGTGACATATAATAGGGGAAGGAAAACAGGAAAGCTGATAAAAATTAATTAGAAAGAAAGAAAAGGGAAAGTAATATCTAGGGCTCTCAAGATGATGGTCTCTAGTTTAGAATATATGCTGATGGTAAGACTGATAGGGAAATAAATTTTAGGACCAGGAAACATTATGAGCATTGGTTTGCAGGCTTACTTCTTGGCAGTAGAGGAAATGGTCAGTCAATCTGGATGCCACATATTTGGCTTGCTGATACTGCCACTGAGGGGATTTCCACTACCATTCAGGGCCACTCCTTACTGACCAGAGCAGTTCACATGTGACTGGTGCTGCATCTGTACTGGAGGTCGGGAATTTTGGGAAAGGTCATTCTCAGTGTGGTTTAGTGACCCTTGTGCCTTTGATTTTAGGTTTAGGAGAATTATTTGATGAAGCAACTCTTTTTTTTCTTTTTTTTTTTTTTGAGACAGGGTCTTGCTCTGTCACCTGGGCTAGAGTGGAGTGGCATCATCACAGCTCACTGCAACCTCAAACTCCTGGGCTCAAGCTATCCTCCTGCCTCAGCTTCCCAAAGTGTTAGGATTACATGTGTGAGCCCGGTGCCTAGCCAGCAACCCCTTTTTTTAAGGGGTTGCCTGATAATTTCAGTTTTTGAGACTGCTATGTGAGCTGGTACTAGAGAGCCTGTCTGGTCCTACAAGAATATGGCAGCCCTACACTTTGCTGCCTTTCAGTCTATGTGACCAGTAGAATACCAGCCCACTTCTCTTTCAATTCTTCTGGGAGAGGGAGTCTGATTGGCTGAGTTTAAAAAGGCAGATTACATTCTGTTCTGATCATCTGTAGCCAGGGGGTTAGAGGGTTAGAGTCATGTCATACAAACCCAATCAGGAGATCATCCTGATAGGTTGAGAGACAGGAATGGGGAAGTTCTCTGAGAATGGAACATGTGGCCTGTGTTGTCAAAGATGGTTATAATAATGTGTCATATATTAGAAGTTTTCAAGGTGTAAGAGAAGAAATTACTCAATTCACTGGTTGCTTGTTTACTGCATCTGTGTTGTTAGGAGTTGAAGGGGTGATTAATTAGTTTGTGAATTAACTAGTTGTGAATTAATGTGGGACAGGATCATAAGATGTGATGGCCTGAACCTCTGTCACTCCTGCCCTGCCACCTCTCTCAAAAATAATCTGTAGAAGAGCCAACCAAGACCAGGGGAGGAGGAGAGGTGGAACAGTTGAGTTTCTGTGTCACTTACCTTTTCTTTAACCAATGCAGCTTTTTTTACCCTTGTCTTTCACCTCCAGTTTCATAATTCCGGTACTGTGGGCTACTGGTGGCAGTCATTCTTAAAAAGTTCCCTGCTACAATTTAACCTGGTTAATCCACTCTTCCTACTTCTCTCCACTCAGTAGAGGGAAGGAGTGTCTTTTGTAGTGTCATTCTAACTTTTTTTTTTTTTTTAAAGAATCTCTTTCCTGCATTCCTCATCCCTTTGTTTTCAGGCATTGAGAATTTATTTTATCTCAGAGAATGAGCGTGAATATGCATGTGAGAGTCTGGTTGTGTATTTAGACTGATGAAAGAGCCAGCATTTATAACTTTCTTGATAGATATGGGTAAACCAGAACATTTACCAAACTGAGTGAGTTTGCTGTTATATTATAACTTGAGATCAGAGTTGTCTTTCATACTAAGAGGCTTAAGTAATTCTGAACAGAAGGTCTTCTGTCTAGAAGGCTTGTGTTTGGTTTCCTTACACTTACCAGGAGTTGCCTTCCTGATAACTTCAGGTGCTGTTAGGATGCAGAGGGAGAATGGGAAGTTAATGGAGGATTTGAGGTTAGAGGTCCTCTCCAGCTATTGGGCAGGGAAATAGATTAGTGGATATAATGCATGCGATAGAATCCACCATGTGATTTAAAGCTATTTTGGGACACAACTAAAATTTCTAAGACTTGCCCTGAGATAGTGTCTATGAAAGCACGTTCAAAACTAGGTATCTAATTTAAAATAAAACATAATTTCTAATAGCAAACGAAGGTATTCTTAGCTATAGTATGCACTTTGCATTTGTTTGCTTCTTAGGTCTGCACTCTTCCTCTGGTGAATAGAAATTCCTTTTCTGACAAAGCTGACTGTTTTCTAACTATAATGTTCTCAAATGTTTCTCTTTTCTCAGTATTTTTCTTTTTTCTGGATTGGATGTTAACTCTTTATTTTTAAAGTTTTTTGGGAAGATATAATTCACTTGCCATAAAATTCGGCCTTTTAAAATGTTCAGTATAGTGGTTTTTAGTCTGTTCACAAAGTTGTACAACCATCACCACTATCTAATGCCAGAATATTTCATCACCCAAAAAGAAACTCCATATCCATTAGCAGTTACACCTTATTCCTTCTTTCTTCCAACCCTTAGCATCCACTAATCTACTTTCTGTCTATGGATTTGCCTATTGTGAACATTTTATATAAATGGAATCATACAACATGTGGCCCTTTGTGTCTGGCTGCTTTCATTTAGCATAATGTTTTCAAGGTTCGTCCATGTTGTAGCATTTACTTCATTCCTTTTTATCCTAAATAATGTTCCATTGTGTGGATATACCACATTTTGTTTATCTAGTCAT